GAGCCTATTTAGTTGCATATTGCATGTGTTGCATTAGGCATCTTGTATAGTTAGGATCCTGCATATTTCTAGCTAGCTTTTTGTTTTGGCTTAGAGTGCCCGGTAAGCTCTTATGCTTTAGCATACTTGCATGAGTGTGAGTGTTGCCATGATAGCATGCTTGCCATGAGGTTATTTTCTTATATGCTTAACTGTATGAATGCTTGTGGGTGAAGGCTTTATTGCCTGAATTGGAACAATTCAATGATTGTGAGTTTTAAGCCCACTTTGCGAAGTGGAAAAATCATATTTTTTTAAGCCCACTTGAGGGTGGGAAATCCTACTTGCGAGTAGCATTTTCAAACCATTTTCGAAAAACAAACATGAATTGTTTTGTTCCAATTCTTGCGATTTTAATACTTGTATGTGTGCGTCACATAGTAAAGTTAGCTAATAATCAGGATAAGAACACATGAGGTTTATAAAACAACATATCATGCTTAGTAGAGGCTGATCCTTTGATCGGGCAAGCGGGGGTGCTCATTGCATGACCTTCCCCTCTCGTACCCAAGTTCCTGAGCCAAGGCAACTTTGGTGATGACGGACACGTGGCCTTTGGCACGAGTCAGGGTTTCCTAAATTTTTCAAAATAAAATGTTTAGGTGGTGACTTTGTAATCTGGCAAAGCAGTCCATGTTTGGCGCTTTTTGATTCAAAATCGATTTTCCAAAACGATTTGCCAAATTTGGACTCTTTGGTGTTTATCAGTCTCATATTGCACTTTGTGAGATTAGATTCGAAACCGTGACAGGAGTCCGAACTGTAGTAAGACCAAATTCGCGCCCTCTCCGAAAGGGGGGCGCACGAAGAAAGTTGGGTCTACACATGTTTTAGCCTTTGAAATAACCTGTTTTAGCTCTGTTTTGGGCTGGTTAGTTCATTTGAGTCTTGTTTTGCATAGTTGTAGTGTAACCCCTTTCACAAGCTTGGTGTTTTAAGGCTTTAACCATCATTGGTGTGAGTTGATTGCATGCTTTTAGTATTTTTTTTCTACTTCATTTCAGCACTTATAATCTCTGCAATCTCACTTATTTCTTCATCTTTTGGTTTTGCTTTGAAAGTGGTTTCAAACCACTTGTTTGCCTAAGTGTGAAATGAAGGTACTACACCTAATAGTTTAATCCCTTAGGGGGTTCATTACCAACAGTGTAATGCGTCTTTCATGCCCAAAGCAGCCTTTGGTTTGAGTCATCTTTCCATTAGAGGACACTCACCAATGGACTTAATGGATTAATGAATGATTTGGTAATTAAAATGAGTAAACAAAATTGGCAAGTAAAAGAGGTAAGATAAGCATTCTTTGCGTTGCATTGCATGTGTTCAAATCAAACATTAATTTGAACACAAGGAAAATGAAACATTTCATACTCAAAAGTGATGAAATGTGCCATTTTCCTAGGTCTCCATTGCCCTTGATCATGCATGATAGGCTGATGGTCATTTTGGTCTCATTTTGCATTTATTGAACTTGCACAATTGGTTTCACAAGCCATCATGCAATGAATTTGCTTGATTGATGGTTTGTGAACCGAAGCATATCCCTTATTTGATTTTCCCATGAAAAGGAGGGGCAAAATGTGCAAACAACCCTTAAGAAATACACTGTTTTGCTTTGTTTTGCTCTCTGTTGCAGCAAGGAAGTTCAAACCAGCAGTGGCCGATAACCACCACCAATGGCCAACCGGCCACCAATGGTAGCCGACTGGCCCCCTGTCGGCCACTAATGAAATTTGCACAGTGTATTGGTAAGGTGGAGCAGAGATGTTCTAGAAGTGGACAGCTTTGTTGGTGTTCATATGTGAAAACAAAGGCTTTCAGCAACAAGGCAGTGGCTTTTCGGGTGAAAAATCAAGCATGCATGCATCCCTCGCGTCCCGGGATTAGCTAATTAATTTAATTAGCAATAGATCAAATAAGTGTTATAATTAATCAGTTATAGATAATTAAGTATTGTAAATAATAGGTTAGTTTTACTAGTTATTCGATTTCGGTTTGTAATAATTAGTTAACTAGAATAGTTAATTATTTCAAGTTTGCAATAATTAGTTAGCTTAATTAACGTAGCTAGTTGGTTAGCTTATTCATTCAGACCCTCCTTCGTGAGGGCATAATGTTGTAATAAGTGTGCGTGCGTGTGTGTATGTCTTCCAACTCCACGGCTTTCTCTTTTTTATTTAATCGCTTTTGATGGTTAGATTAGGGACATGTTTTAATTAGCATATTGCATGCTTGCATCTATTCATCTTGTCTTGCAATTTCAATATCTTATTTGAATGCTTGTTTAATCGCATGTTGTTCAAATCGATCCATATGCCATATTAGTAACCGAGCCTATTAATTGCATTCTTTGCATGTGTTCACTACTACAAAAATAGATAAAGATCACACCTTTTTTGTGTGATGTATGTTATTTAATCACACCTTTTAAGTTTTATTAAAGTGTGATTAAAAATGTTTTTAATCACACTTTTTAAGTGTACTTAATAACATTTAGATCGCACATTTTACATGTGATTAAAAATATTTAGAACACATCTTTTAAGTGTGATTAATAACATTTAGATCACACCTCTTAAGTGTAATTAAAAATATGTAGATCACTTCTTTTAAGTGTGATTAATAACATTTAGATCACACATTTTAAGTGGGATTAAAAATATTTAGATCACATCTTTTAAGTGTGATTAATAACTAATAAAATTTGTGATAAAAATGGGGTTCGACATATTTGAAAAATAATTAATATTATTTTTTTATGCACATTTGAAGAATGTAATACACACTATATACTATAGTTTGAATCATAACCACATATTGAATGGAATAACGTCATATATTTCATAAATGAAAATTAAATGTTCAAAAGTATATACAAAAAAATTAAATAAAAAAAATTCAACTGTACTTACATATATTAAAAAATGAAAAAACTTAAAAAAACTAAGTTCTTTAATTCTTTAACCATATTTTGCATCTCTTCAAGAAATTTCTGACCTGAAAAATGAAAACACAAATTAATTCAAAAACGGAAGAAGCATATGAATAAACTAACTATTTATAGAGACTATTCTAATCTTACAAAAGATACAATTTGACTTTTTCTCATCACACTGACTCTTCATCTCCTACTTCAATAGAAAAAGAATATCCACTTTAATTGAATAATCAATTCTCATGGAAAAAATGGACCAAATATCTTAAGATAGCTAAATATGAACTATGACTACAGGGCAACAATGCTCAGGAGAAGAAACAACCCTTGAATATAGGAAAACTCATGTGTTAAAAGATTTCAGCAGTTAACTCATCATCAGACATGAACACGCAAAAAACAAATTAATAGCCAGAAGAGAGTTGTCATCTCCATTTAAAAATTGATAATTATTCCAAGACATGAACATGCAGAAAACAAATTGCTCCATTCTTAAACCACATAAAACAATCTACCCCTGCAACAAGAGATGAGTTTGTTACATTGAAATCATATAGTGATAGTCAGTTAACCACAGACAAAGGTCATGTAATGATAATAAATAAAAAGTTATCAAATAAAAAATGTAATGATAATATATAAAAGTACAGTAATGTCGTTTATAAATCTTGAGATGAGGTCAATATCTACCAAGGAAAAAGTTGTTGACTTGATTATGCAATGCCTGTTAACTGTTGATGTGCAAATTCTGAATTACATATTGGTGCCACATAGAACCTAATGGAATTAAGATTTTAACCACAGACAAAGGTCATGTAATGATAATAAATAAAAAGTTATCAAGTAAAAAATGTATTGATAATATATAAAAGTACAGTAATGTCGTTTATAAATCTTGAGATGAGGTCAATATCTACCAAGGAAAAAGTTGTTGACTTGATTATGCAATGCCTATTAACTGTTGATGTGCAAATTCTGAATTACATATTGGTGCCACATGGAACCTAATGGAATTAAGATTTTAGTCAAGTAAGTTTTATGCCAAGTTTTCTTTAGGTTAATGTGTTGCAAATACTTTAATATGAAGTTTGTGTAACCTCAGAATTCTTAACTAGATAGAACCCAAAAAAAGAGAGAGTGGTCCACTTAGTAATCCAAAAAAATAAGGAAGTAGACGGGAAAATAGACAATTTAGAAACATTTGTATGGAATCTTAAATGTGGGTAATTACCGAATGATCAAGTTATAGTGACAAAATGTTACTTTTACAACGGAACACCCATGATTGCATACCAGTTTCCAGATTTACCAAGGCAGCTCCAAGATCGGTGCCTATACCAACCAAAAGTAAGAACAAAACAAACAGGAGCAAAACATGAAATATTAGTCATTTAACATAGTCTGATTGTCATTTTCAATAGGGCCACAACCTGTTAATGTCATTACTAATTGTGAACTAATGAAACATGCTAATAAAGGTAAGACTGACTATTATAAATTAATATGATATTAGGCTCCAAATCTTATCAAATCTGTAATGTTCCAGTAGAAATGAACATGACATTAAATTATGACAGTAGACAACAAAATCAACAAATTAACGAAAAAAATGGCACTTCAGAGGAGGCATTTTTAAAAGGAATACCAAGAAACCAGCAATTATTAAAATAATATAGATAATATAGAAAGACAGAACAAGTATGGAAATGCAATAGACAATATTTAGGTTACTCCAAAAATCCTATAAAAGATGCACTGAAAATAGCTAGACATTAGTAAGCTGATGCTCTTAAATAAGTTCAAAGTTGTATAGGATCAGGAGTTGCTAGATTCATTAACCTCCCTAACAGTAAATATTTACCTTGCACAGATAATTAAGCCAATAAATGTCACATGACTTTGTAAAATCGATGCAGGTATGATCTTAGCATCTGTTTACTAGTAACTGGAAGACTTACAATCTGTTTGATGAATCCCAAAGAGCACCCATTGAAAAGTGGAACCTCTTGAACATATGGCTCATATAATTTTGTGAAATATGCGTAGAAGAAACAGTTCATGGGGCAAAACAATCTACAACGTACGATTCTTTTTTGAGTGACAAAGCAAACTGCATGTACACATTTTCAACAAAATGCAAGAGACTGATCAACTATTTTAAAGCACTAAATCCGCATATAACTATCTTTTAAGTTTTATTTTTTATTTTTAGGTTTCAACATGGGCTATTGAACATAATATAAATGAGACATGTTAAGATTTTTATCATTTTATAGTACCTTAGCTCGAATGGAGATTGGAATATCATGAAGAACAGTAGCTTGTGTGTATCTGTTCTCATATTGTAGCCTCACATGGCCTTTGATCTCATTACTTAAAGGCTTTCCAAGTTTGTGTGCATTCATATATTTAATAAAATCTGCCATTTTGTCCCTAAACCTTTCTATTTTTGATCCTTTCACAATCAATGCTGCCATGTTATCAAGTAGATAGGCGCCGATAATCATATCGAAAGAGACATAGATCATTATGAATATCATTTCCCTGACATTGACTGCATGTATCTCTCCAGAACCTGTAGCATTAAAGAAAAAAGAGGAAAAAATCATTGCATATAATTAATAATACCTATTCTTAGAAATACAGTAGCGCTACATCATTATATATAAAAATAAAAAACCACTGCTTGTAATATATTACAAGATACACATCTTGGAAATAAACAAAGGTACCCATGTTGGACAAGACACATATGGGCATGGATGTTTACAAAATGTCCATCCAATATATATTTATTAGGCATGCTTAAGAAAAGAGGACATATTCTTGGGTGTACATAGTCAGTTCAAAGAATCCCAAGCAAAATTCCTATTTTTATATTATATTGAAACTAAGTAGGAAACACCTATGTTCATTGTGTGTCACACAGACATTTATTCTTAAGGCACACACAAGAATTGTTATATGATGGTAGGCATTAGGCATCACATTAAAACTGTGTAGATCATGAATTGAGTTCTTTTATAGCATAAATGATTATTCTTTTCTGTAGCACTACCTAGATAAAGTCATTTTTGTAAGTTTAATAAGTGATTTTGTTTTAATTATCAGTTTTATCATTTTGGAGATGCCTCCGTTTTACTTGACCAAGTGGTATGATGCTTGTTGGGGATTGATTAGATTCGCTATGATGCTTGTTGCACTCATCCTCCTCTATCTTTTATTGTTGTAATAGTTTTCTGATTCTTCAATAAATTTCCTTTTCTTTGCTGATCAAAAAAAAAGAGGACATATTCTTGGGTGTACATAGTCAGTTCAAAGAATCCCAAGCAAAATTCCTATTTTTATATTATATTGAAACTAAGTAGGAAACACCTATGTTCATTGTGTGTCACACAGACATTTATTCTTAAGGCACACACAAGAATTGTTATATGATGGTAGGCATTAGGCATCACATTAAAACTGTGTAGATCATGAATTGAGTTCTTTTATAGCATAAATGATTATTCTTTTCTGTAGCACTACCTAGATAAAGTCATTTTTTGTAAGTTTAATAAGTGATTTTGTTTTAATTATCAGTTTTATCATTTTGGAGATGCCTCCGTTTTACTTGACCAAGTGGGATGAAAATTAAAAAGAATATCTTCATGAATTACATAGGATTTAAGAGCAAATGAGGAAAAATATATCAATATTGCAAAATGAAGACTTCATATTCAAAATGAAAATAAAAAATCATCATCATTGATTAAATGCCTTTAGGAAGTATTATGAGGAAAAAAGTCTTATTAAATGTACAATTGATATAGAAAAATAAAAAGAAAAGATGAAAAGAGAGGGACCTTCCTAGATATCATGCAGAACAAGAAGATCAGTCCTGTAACTCAAAATTTTCACAAAATTTTACAAAATCCAAGTTTCACCATTCCAACAAACAATTGAGTGCATAGGTATTATTTGTTGGGTATTATAGCAAATAGTTATAAGCAAATCAACAAACAAAGGAACACAAAGAATTACAATGTACTTGAGTCAGAAATCATAGAAATAACATAGTAATAAAAAAATTACAGACCTTGCTTCTTATTACATTGCCACAAACCCTTGATCAGAAAACCCTTGAAAACCAATAGACTTATTAGAGCTCCACTGCCATAGGGGAAAAAGTTAAGAGTCATTAATTGGAAAAGAGATGAAATCAATGAAGTAATAGCAAATCAACTGAGCATGAGAAGAAACCTAGGTAAAACTATGTTTATGTTAAAAACAAGTTGGATCTATAAACAACAAAAACTGTGAAATTGAACCCAAAAAAGAACAAAAAAAATAAATAAAATGTATATATAGAAATGGTGGTGGTTAGGCAATAGCAAATAGAGGTTCAAATCATAATGAATCGTTATAAATTTACGTCTTACTTTGTCTTTTGCCCTCTCTCTCTCTCTCTTTCTCTCTCTCTTGATTTGATACACTCGTTTGATCAATCTCTGTTTTGGTTTTGGTTTGGTTTCACACTTTGTAGAGAGAGAAACTTGTTGGTAACTCAAACCAAGGGTTGTTCTTGTTTTTATTGAGGTTTGTGATTGGGGGTAGAGATTATCGGGGATCGATGCCTAATAATCGACAGGTTCAGAACAATAGAGGTGTTTCCAATTCTTCACCAAATAACCTTGAAGGAAATAATATATGCTTGAGTTTCAAGCAACAATGATCTATACACTATAATCATCACTTTCTATTTGTTTGAGGAAAAGAAGAGATTGAGTAAGAGGAGAAAGGGGGAAGAGCTCTTACACTCCACTGAGGGAGAGAGAGACGAAAAGCAATAAGAGAGTGAGACATCGAGTGAGAGAAGAGAAAAGACATACCTGGTGTTGGTATGGATGGTTGCCGGAGGCTCGACCGGCGTGCGACAGAGGTGAGGCTATGTTGGTTTGGGGTGATAAGAGAGAGGCCTCCGAAGACGGCGATCGTAAGAAGCACTCATGCCCAACAGTATTGAACACACTCCATCTCCTTCTTCCTCCCTCTCTCTCTCTCTCTCTCTCTCTCTCTCTCTCTCTCTTATGTGCCTTGTGATGAACCCTATCCTTCTACTTTCCTTTTGATTAGAAGTAGCCAAAGAGTTAAATGTATTTTGAATTTTTTTTTTTAATTTGTGTTCTGGTGTTAGGATTTTTTTTTTTTAAAAAAATTGGGAATTGTATATTTTATATAAAAATCAAATTGAAATATTTTATATAATCACACTTATTTAAAAAGTAGTAGTGTATATATAATCACACTTTAATTAGAAGATGTGATTAAAAAATGTATAAATAATCACACTTAAATTAGAATGTGTGATTATATATATATATATAATCACACTCATTTAAAAAGTGTGATTAAAAATATAAATAAATATATATATATATAATCACACTTAATTAAAAAGTGACATAAAAAATAAATATTATCACGCTCAATCAAATTAAGTGTGATTAAAATATCAATCTAATTTTTTTTATCACACTTCCAATAAAAGTGAGATTTTTTTTTTTTTGTTGTCAAAGTGTGATCTTTAACTATTTTTATAGTAGTGGTTGCATTAAGCATCTTGTATAGTTAGGGATCATGCATATTTTTCTAACTCATATATTCTTAGCTTGGAGTACTTGGTGAGTTTTTACGCTTTAGCAAACTTGCATAAGTGTGAATGTTGCCATGTCTAGCATGCTTGCCATGAGGCTATGTGCTTAAATGCCGAACTGCATGAATGCCTGTGGATGAAAGCTTGTTGTTTGAATTGAAACGATTCAACAAATGTGCATTCTAAGCCCACTTTATTGAGTGGCAAATCATGTTTTAAGCCCACCATGTTTGGTGGTAAATCTGTAATCTTTAAGCCCACTTGAGGTGGCAAATTCAAACCATTTTTGCAAACAAACATGAGTTGAATTGTTCTAAATTGAGTAAACTAGTCTATACTTGCTTGTGCGCATCACATAGTAAATCTAGCTTAATAATCGGAGCAAGAGCACATAATGTTTATAAAATATCATATCATGATTAGTAGAGGCCGATCTTTGATCGGGCAAGCGGGGGTGCTCAATTCATGACCTTCCCCTCTTGTACTTAAGTTCTTGAGCCGAGACAACTTTAGTGATGACAGGCACGTGGTCTTCGGCACGAGTCAGAGTTTCCTAATTTCCCCAAAACAAAAAAATATTTAGGTGTCGACTCTATATCTAGCAAAACAGTCCAATTTTGGCATTATTTGATTTAAAATCGATTTTCCAAAACGATTTGCCGGATTTGGACTCTTTGATGTTTATCAATTTCATATTGCACTTGTGAGATTAGATTCAGAATCGCGGGAGTTCAAACTGTGAGGCCTTTCTTTCAAACCTTCCAAAAGGGGGCGTGAAAAAAGGTGAGCCACAACGGATAAATAAAAGGAAGAAAAACGTAGGGTTGAAAGAAATATATATTATTACATTTTGCTCTCATGAAGGAGAGCCCAAATGAATAAACTAGCTAACCAAGCTAAGCTAAGCTAATTATTACAAAACTTGAGTGAATAATTAACTAACTATCTAAGCTAAATTTAACTAGGCTAAGCTAATTAAATATTACAACACCAACTAGTTAGTTACAACTAATTAGACTAATTTAATATTACAACACAATTTATTCATAACTAATAATAATACTAATGAAACAATGTAATTGCATTTGATAAGAACATAATGGAAGGTGGATGAAGGTTGCATGCACATCGCCTGAAAGCTACTATGTCTGCTCAGGCCATCTCTGTTTCACCTTCAGCCACTGCTTACACACCAAGGGCCGGTCATGCATCACTAATGGCCGATCGGATATATAGATGGCCGGCCGTGCATCAATTTGGTGTAAAGCTCTGTTTCTGTGCTTTGAGGTGAAATCAGTGCAGATAGAGCATTTTTAAGCTCTGTTTGTCCTTCCTTCCTTCTCTGTCATGGGAAATCCTCGAGAGTGGGTTGAAATTGATTCCAAAACCATCAATGAGCAATATGATTGCTTGATGATCTCAGATTCAATTTTGGACAAAAGTTGATAAAAATGCAAAGAATGGGATCACCCCTCCTTCTTGTCATAGTATGATCTCAAAAAGGAAGGTTGCAACGCTTCAAGAATCATCAAAATGCTATGAATTAACATGTGACGACTCTTGACACAAGTAACTTGGTATAACGTCCGGCCAAGTTGAAGCAATTTTAAGCCTTTTTCTTTAAGTGTGTGTGGACTCGCCTTATTCGCGCCCCCCTTTCGAAAGGTTTGAAATGAAGGCCTCACAATTTATACTCCAGCGGTTTTGAATCTAGTCTCACAAGTACAATATGAAATTGATAAACACCAAAGAGTCCAAATCCTAAAATCTTTTTAGAAAATCGATTTTAAATCAAATAATGCCAAAATTGGACTGCTTTGCCAGATACAGAGTCGCCACCTAAATATTTTTTGTTTCGAGGAAATTAAGGAAACCCTAACTCATGCCGAAGGCCACGTATCCGTCATCACCAAAGTTTCCTCAGCTCGGGAACTTAGGTACGAGAGGGAAAGGTCATGAATTGAGCTCCCCCGCTCGCCCGATCAAAGATCGACCTTTACTAATCATGATATGATTTTTATAAACATTATGTGTTCTTGTTCCAGTTATTAGCTAACATTACTATGTGATGCGCACAAACAAGTATAGACTAGTTTGCTCAATTTGGAACAATTCAACTCATGTTTGTTTTTGCCAAAATGGTTTCAATTTGCCACCTCAAGTGGGCTTAAAACATGTGGATTTGCCACCAAACATAGTGGGCTTGAAACATGATTTGCCACTCAACAAAGTGGGCTTAAAGTCGCACATTTGTTGAATTGTTCCAATTCAAACAACAAGCCTTCATCCATAGGCATTCATGTAGTTTAGCACTTAAGCACATAGCCTCATGACAAGCATGCTAATCATGGTAGCATTCACACTTATGCAAGTATGCTAAAGCGTAAAAACTTACCGAGTACTCTAAGCCAAAATAGAAACTAATTAGAAAGATGCATGATCCTAACTATGTTAATATGCCTAATGCAACACATGCAATAATGCAATTAATAGGCTCGGCTACTAATATGGCATATGAAGCAATTTGAACTACATGCGATTTAAACACGTATTCAACGAAGTATTGAAATGACAATGCAGTTTGAATGATGCGTCGTGTCTCGGTGCATGCAATACAAATGAATGGATGCAAGCATGCGATATGCTAATTGAAACATGATCCCTAATCTAACCATCGAAAGGAATTAAATAAAAGGGAGAAAGACGTAGGGTTAGAAAACATACACACACACACGCACACTTATTACAACATTATGCCCTCGCGAAGGAGGGTCCGAATGAATAAGAGCTAAGCTAATCTAATTAAGCTAATTAGACTAATTATTACAAATCAAATGAATAACTAGCAAACTAATTACTAATTATTATAACACTTAACTAACTAGCAAACTAATCATGCAAGGCATTAAACTATGCTGCCATTGCTCCGCCTCGGGAGTTGGGAGATGCACGTGCTCGGTTTTTGCCCCAAAAAGACCTCCGTTTTGCTCTTGACAGGCTCTGTTTACAGGGTTAATCATACTTCAGAACCTTTCTCCTCCACCTTATCAAATCCTTGTTGAGGTTGACATCAGTGGCCTGCTGGTCATGGATGGTTGATGCCGGTCATCTGCTTGCCAAAAATGAGGCACTGCCAGCCACTGATGCATTGGATCATCATGCTACAACAGAACACAAATAGAGCAAAAACAGGGTTTTTCCAAGGATTGTTTGCACACCCTGTCTCTCATTTTCATGGGGAAATCAAAGGAGGGGCAAGATTTGGTTCACAAAACCACCAATCAAGCAATTTCATTGCATGATGGCTCGTGAAACCAATTGTGCAAGTTCAACAAATGCAAAAACAAGACTCAAAATGTTTATCACCCTATCATGCATGATCAAGGGCAATGGAGACCTAGGAAAATGGCACATTTTATCACTATTTGAGTATGAAATATCCCATTTGCCTTGAGTTCAAATTAACGTCCAATTTGAACACATGCAATGCAACACAAAGAATTCTTATCTTGCCTCTTTTACTTGTCAATTTTGTTTACTCATTTTAATTACAAAACCATTCATTAATCAATTGTCCATTGGTGAGTGTCCTCCAATGGAAGGAGGGTTCAAACCACAAGTTACTTTGGGCATGAAAGAGGCATTACACTGTTGGTAATGAACCCCCTAAGGGATTAAACCATTAGGTGTAGCACTTCCATTTCACACTTAGGCAAACAAGTGGTTTGAAACCACTTTCAAAGAAAAACCTAAAAGTGAAGAAATGAGGGAGATTGCAATGATTATAAGTGCTGAAAATGAGTACTAAAAGTACTAAAACATGCAACTAACTCAAACCAGTAATAGTTAAAGCCTTAAAACGTTAAGCCAGTGAAAGAATTAACACTACAACCATGCCATGCAAGACACAAATGGAACAAATAACCAAAAAAAGAGGCAAAACAACCTTAAATATAGTCTAAAAGTGGCTGAACTTAAGCCACAAAAAGTTAAAACCATAAGCTAGTGCATGGAGCTAACTAGGCATGCAAACAAGACACAAGGAGAGAAGGCTAACCCCTCCAATTTTGGACTTCAAAATGTGTTTTTTACCACTGAAAAACCTTTGAAATTCAGTGGTTAAAAAGTCTAAAAAAATGGTTTTAAAGTAATGAATAAAGGCACAAAAGCTTTACACATAAGGAAACAAGAAGGGTGAACCACCCCCTAACTAAAAAGGGGTTCAAACCACCATTTTTAAGCCACCAAAACAAAGCTTTTTACAATTCAAAACCAACCCCAAAACAGTTGAAAAGGATGGCAAAACAAGTATACAAAATAAGTATAAACAATGCAAGTGTTATACCTTTGATGCAATCACAAATTGGCCAACGATCCAAGCCAAAACCACCTTCTAGAACTCAAATAAGGTCCCAAGTTACCTCAACTCAAAGACTAGCAACTTTCGTT